CAGGGCTGCTTCACACAGAGCCAGCCATGGTCAGGCTCTGGAGTCCTACCTCTCACAGCTCAGGGGTTTGGTTATGTTTTTCTTGTGTGTGGGGGATATGATATTAGCCATTATACTCAAGATGAAAGAGAACTTCTTCCCTACATTCCACACTGAATTCAGACCAAAAGTAACCTTTTTATTCAATAAATTATTCCAAGATTTAAATACATGGTTGGTAAAATAAACACTGATATTTAATTCTCAGTCTGATAAATTTAATTATATAAGTATTGTATGTTATCTTTAATTTTAAAGTAAAAGCAGCTGTCACAAGTATTATTTTTAACTTAAGTTTTGAGTCAGAATCAGAGAAGTCGAATGACTCACTGTGCATTCAGCGTCTTGGTTCTGCACTTGTCATTAACCCATGCTGACTTTCTACATTACTGAGATTTATCTCTGCTTTATTGCCTACCTTTCTTTATGAGAGGTTTCCTCTAAAATTTTTATATAGTTTGTATAGAATCTGAGAGGGTTAAATTTTCTAAATATTCCTGTTTTAACCTGACTCTGATACTCTGATATTTCTGAGGCTACAAACCTGCCACTCTGTATGTAATAGGATTATTGTAAAAGCGTAGTATCCAACTAAGAGAGCGATTCTCCTTTCAAACAGACTGAAACAGGAGCTGGATCTCTACAGCGAAGATGAGATGGAAAGCATGTGCAAAGCGCTCCAGACAGAAATAGAGTTTCTGGAGTCGGTAAGCCACACTGCTCATTCTCCTCCTCTCCAGCCTTGTCCTACCTGCTGTGAAGCAGGATTTACTTACATGCGTACCCTGGAACTAGGGCTTTGACCTCCACAAACCCCAGAGCAAGCAAGTGAAAGTCAAGTTGGGGTATAAACCGTGAGGTGTTCTGAGCTCTTGGACAGACAGCTCCGTAAGCTTGTCACCAGAGAGCAGGACAGCTTCTCGCTAAGTGCTAACACATCCAGACCTCCATCCTTTGACAGAGACAGTCCTGCTATAGGACAGCTGCGCTGAAATCTGTCTAGCCCTTACGACATCTAACCCTGCCCTTTATACCATAGACTCCCATGATTGCAGACCTTTTAGACATTTTCAGGTTGTGTGCAAGCACTGTGTAACTAACTTACAAATGAGCACAGTATTTGCTATAATTTATCTAAATACAGACATGCAAAGGGAATGCTAAATACAATTTTAATTTGAATGCACTGCGCTTTGAAGTATGTTTATTTTCTGCAAACTGTTACAATTATATTTTGATTCATATTTCTGATAAGAACTTTGGAAAACCTGAGTCAGAACTCCTAAGAATTATTGCTGTGTTAAATTTAAGTAAATTCCATGAGTTCCCTTTAAGAAATGAGTTTGAACTGGATGTGTAGCTGGATTGTTGCACCTTCACCTAGCGTGTGCAAGGCTCTGGGCTTGATCACCACACATAAGAATTCACTTTCCCTTATGACTATGCACTGCATATTGTCTTCCAGACATTGGCGCAGAAGGGTCTTCAGGACAAGTGACTTCTCGGAGTTGATGAGCCGCCCTGCACTTGACCATGGCATCTTAGAGTCAACCCCAAGTGACACCTGTGTGGCAGATCTCCATGTAAACAAAAGGTTCAGAATAGTCCAAGTGCTTATGTCAAGAGAGGGTTTATGTATATCTACAAAATAAGTTTTATCTTGTTACTTAAGAGGTACTTGTGTGCTTTCTAAAGGAAGAGAAAGGAGAAAATACCATATTCCAGGATTCTTCATACCAATCTGTCTTTTCTGATCAGGATGTGTTCTTCTTTCTTGTAGCTTACCCTGGGTCCTATCAACACACAGGGAGATAAGTGTTCAGGTTATCGACTCAGTTTTGTTCATGCCATTTCTGCCAGGCCAAAGTTCTTACTTTGATTTTAATCTTTTTTCCATTTTTTTTTCAATTATAAAGTGTCGACAGTGATTATCTGGGGCTTTCCATTCCTCCGTGTGTCTCCAGAGCTTTAAAGCCAGGACATCTGCAGACACATGGCAGTGACCCCTACCTACCACTTCTGATGACAGTGTTGGTTGGGAGCAAGTTTTCCACTTGGGGAGGACGGGATAGGCAGCATCGTGTACTCTCCACAGTTATCGACCTTGACTCCTAGAGAGGATATTTTCACCAGTGTTAGAATGTGTGTCAAAGCTGTGCAGTCAGAGCCTGGGCTAGGCTAGGTGGGAGAAGGAAGTGTCTGAAAGTGGCCGTGTGACCTGCCTGGGGCTGTGTGTTAGGAGCAGGTTCTGCGAAGCAGAGGAAACGGCAGCTGGCAGCTGCTCTGTTAAAGCTGAACTTAGTTCTCCAGTTGTTGATCTCTTCTCCTTTTACATATTTGTAGTCGTATAACTCTTGGAAGGAAAATTAGCTGAAATTGTCAGTATATAAATATGTCTAGGACTGAATTTGATTACTCTGGAGTAAGACAGTGGCTGCAGAGAAAGGTAGTTTGTACATGAGTGTGTGTTTGTTAAGTCAATTCATTAGCATGGCTGTGCATTTAGTTATGAGCAAAGTACCACTAGCCCAAACAGTCCGCACACTGCACTCGCGACCTGGCACGCCACTGTGCTTCTTTAATGCTACCCTATGTCCTTCAAGAAGCAATTTTTAAATCTCACCTCCCCACTGGGGGCTGTGTTAGAATGTATATAGTTCAGCACACTTTTTCTAAATCTTGCCTCTCCACTGGGGACTGTTTTAGAATGTATAGGTTGCTTCATATCCTCCTGTTAATTTATGGGGCCATTTGGCTAGAGGAAAAATAGCAATAAAATCATAGGCTATGGGCATGATCCTAGTGAAGATTCCTTTCTCTCTTCTCTGACCTCACTGTCGACAGGGAGGGAGGTACAGAAAAAGGGAAAGCGTTGAGAGCTGTACAGCCAGACATGGCTGCCTTAGTGTTGTTTTGTCCACAGCATGTCTTCTTCTGTAAAAGAAACAAGGATTAAAGAGCGTTTAGCATTTGCCTGCCTGCCTGTCTTTTCTTGAACTTGTAAAACCATGATGAGATTTTAAAAGCATAGAAGAAGGTTGAGGTCATTGTATTCTGATGAATTAGAACACAGGAAACACAGCAAGCTGGAGTTGTTTCCTCGCTGTGCAGTGGGAGCTCTGCTGTGAACAGTCTATTGAGTCCTTTAGCACATGGGCACCCTAGATGGCCGCAGATGGACAGACAGCCCACATTGGACAAGCTCTGTTGTCAGCTTTGGCTGAGGACAAAGTCTCTTTCTATTTTGCACCAATCAATCACAAATAACTCTGTCACATTGTGATGAATAAATCGTTTATTTGCAGTCCAGAAGCCAGTAGCAGTTAAGCGACATGACGAGAGATAAAGAAGACAGTTTTAGTCGTGAGTCACCAGGATAAGGTATTCTTTATTCAGCTGTTGTAGGATCAATTTGAAGTTTGAAGTTGCTGCACATTCTAGAAAGGCTTTCGGCATTTGGAGTTGATCTATTTTAGGTGGTCTTTGATGTTTTTGTTTGTTTGTTTTGTTTGCATCTCTTTACTCGTCTGTCTTGTTTACTTCTCTTCACTCCTTGTCTTTTGAGAAAACTTAAATTTGCCTCTCAAAATCTAGTTCAGAATATTTTATGTCAAGAGAATTGTTTTTTAGGATGCAAACTAAAAATGAAAAATATTTTTATGTCATTGACCTGAAGCAAGGATTAAGTTTTGGAGGTTTGTGACCCTTTTATCTCAAGACAGAAAATTTTATTTTACTTTTTATTTTTTAATGCAAAAATATAGCAGAGTTCTCTTTGAAAATACTTGAGGTGGCAATGCATAGTTAGGTGACTGTTCTTTCTGAACATTGTATTTTAAAGTTAAATGGCTTTGTTGTGTTCTGCTTTGTCTTCATCTAATATTAGAATTAAGCTTTATTTTCTTATTCACTAAGATTTGAATAAATAGTACTGACACAACACTGACTAATAATTGGTGACAGAAATTGTATTAAGAACCCCTCCCCCTCCCCAATACAGGAGAAGCAAGATTTTGTTATTGTTTCTTGGTGGAGGCTCACATTTATTAAACAGAAGGAAGAACTGTGCAGGCAGCATGTGTTACAAGAGCACTCTTACTTTGATAGGAGGAACAAGGAAATCACAGCACAGAATGACTGCTTGGTAGTAGAGGGCTCTCCCAGCTGCTGCCATAGAAAGTGCCGAGAGCAAAGCTGTTGGGACCGAATGCTTATTTAAACAACTGCTTCTGATACAGAGCAGATTTATCTTTTAAAAGCCTTTATAAAATCAGAAGCACTAGAGTTCATATGTCTAGGAAAACAAAGTGCAAGTGAAATGTGAAATTAATAGCAATGACTGACACAGGGATCTGTTCTGAGGACATGGAGCAAGAGGAAATGCTTTTGTTTTCTCTTTATAGCCAGAAGAGCTCCACACCTCTAATAATTATTAGTTTGTTATTTTGATACTTGTAATAAATTACTATTCTAATTAGTTGGTAAATAAAACCTTGTTAAAATAAAACTCTATTACTCTCCATCTAATATATGCAAATATAGTACTAATGACTATTTCTGGATCCAGATTTGTGGTGGCTGAAGTCACCATTATATTGTCATTGTTGGAACAGTTTTTGTGGGTGTTAGATAAGAAACCCCTAAAGTGTGAATGACCTGAGGTGGGGGGTTCACACAGGGTCAGTGTCACAGAAGTTCTAAATCCAGTGACAACCAGGCTTGTAGAACACGGAGATAATATTCACAAGAACATCTTTACCCAGTGGTGTCAGAGCTCACTGTTGGGAGCCATGTCGATACAATCATTATGGCAGGCTTACAGACAGAACTGGGGTTTTGGTTGGTTACCTGATTTGTGTGAGGTCACAAAGAGCAGTGGGTGGCTCTTCATCTACACTTTCATTGTTCAGACTCCAGTCAGTGATAATATATCTTAGAGAATATTGCTTTTGAAAATTTGCTTGGAATTAAAAATCTACACAACAGCTATTATCAAAAAAATTTGAAAATTATTTAAATCAACATCTGATTAACAGAAATTATGGAATTAGTCACAATCAGTAAATGGGAGATACAGTTAATTGAGAATGTCTTCTTACAGTCTTTGATGAGAACAATTCCTCCACATAAAACAGGCTTGAATCCTTCCTGGAAACTGACCCTCTAGGAGTCTCTGGAAAATAATACCTGTCCATATGTCTTTGCTAGACTTTTTGTGGACATGTGTAGTTTAGTATTGTCCTGTGGTGATGATATGTAAGGTAATAACTGGAATCAACTGCTTACTCAAGCATTCTTCCTCATTTCCAACCTCCCCATTTCTGCTTCTGTCTGTCTGTTCTTTCTTCTGCTGCCTTTCCTGGCTCTCCTCCTGTCCTTCCCTTCTTGCATACTCCTTTTCAGCTATATGGGTTTGCTCTGTGTTCTCCAAATTGGCCCAACCTGTGGTGTGGAAGATCCTTCTGTCTATGTGTTGCTTTTATTGGTTAATGAATAAAGAACTGCTACGGTAGGGAAAAACAGAACTAGGTGGGGAAAGCTAGGCTGAATGCTGGGAGAAAGAAGGGCAGAGTGAGAGGGAAGCCATGGAGCCTCCACCAGAGACAGACTCTGGGAATTTTACCCAGTAAGCCACAGCCTCGTGGTGATACACAGATTAATAGAAATGCGTTGAATTAATATGTGGGAGTTAGCTAATAAGAAGCTACAGCTAATGGGCCAAGCAGTGATTTAATGAACACAGTTTCTGTGTGACTATTTCGGCTGCAGGAACCAACAAGCAGTCTCTCCTCCAACAAATTAATGGCCAACGTGATGGGCTCAATCCATTTAAAACCTGAGAGGGCTTGGAAAGGAATTCTAGACACCCACACAAAAACAAAGTTTAGCACATGTTTTTCAGCTGGCTGCTTACTGCAGCTCCTTTAAGAGAGGTTATTTTGATTCAGTGGTAGCAGTAAAAAAAGCCACGCTGTTTTGAAATGCTGACTTTCTGGGCCATGCTACTAGTGCAAACTCTGACTCTTTCAGGCAGGAGGTCTGACTACAGAGCATTTTCTGTGGGAATTGTGAGCTGACTGCTGCAGTTTGCTTAATGGCAGCATGGACTGGCTATGTGCCTGATAATGGGACTGTGTGCATGGCTCTCAGAGGCAGAGCAGCTCCACCATGATTGACTGGGCAGGGCAAGCAGGAAGTACTATATATACTATAGTAATGCTGCAGCTTAAGTTTCTAAGAAGTGCTTAGCATTTTAAGAAGTGTTCCTTGATAGTAAAGAATTACAGATTCACAATCAGACAGATTCAGACATAAAAGATCTCTAAATGGGTCACAGTGTTGGATAAATGTACGTAGGCTTGAGAGAGAAAAGAAAAAAATATAAACAGTTATAAAAAGAAGTAAATGTTTTTTTTAAAAAAAAACCCAGTCTTTAATAGAGTACAGCCAGTCATAGATTAAAGGAGTAAAGAAAAATAATCCACATAAAGATGGAAAACTCACATAAAGTCTGGATTATGTATATTATTGTGTTTTCTTAGAATATTTTTGACTGTGAAGGAGCTAAGTACAGAGAGACATTTCATTGTATGGGCTGCTTAGCTTAACCAATCTATATATCTTAAAGGTATCTTGATTTCAAAATATGGATCTAAGGATATGTTGCTTTGAAAAAGAAGTTCTTCTTTGGTTTCCACAGAGGTTGAGAACCTGTGGATTTTTTCAAGACTAATATGGCTTGATGGACCAAGACCCCTAGAAAGGTTTTTGTGACCACACCCAGAAAGAAAATACTTTGCCCAATAAATAGCAGGAAGCAGTAAGGAGACAACTATGTCCATATTCCCAAATATTGTATATAAATGTTTCTTTACATTTAAATGGGGGATATGCTGTAGAGATTTGCATTGGTATGGATCTTGCTTTATTGATGCAAATTTAAGATCAATTTTGTTGTATGCATATTTCTGGTCTTGATTAAGGTATTGTGCTTGTACAGCTCATTAAAAATGCAATGTATAATTAAGAAATATAGGTTAATAGATAATCATCTATAATAACCAAGCTTGTAGTCATGTTAGTTAGATTTTCTAGATGTACAGAGATGCATTTCAGATGGATAGGTATTCTTCAAATCTTTCAGAGATCTTCAGAATATGGAATTTAAAATGTTTTAACAGTTTAGGACTTTTTATGACCATGAGACACATCTGCTCCTGACAGCACCAATTATTTCAAGAGGAAGATGGGCATCGAAGAGGCTCCTTATGGAGTTTGTTAGCCATTTAAGCAAGAAACTGCTCTTGCCTGGACTTCTTGATGAACTGGACATGCAGGAACCACTTTGAAATGACTGCTGAACTTGCCTAAAGGTGAGATGATCCTTTGGGGTTCCTGCTTCATTAAAGAAACTGCCAGACATTCTGCAGGACACAGAAGAAAGTGACTGACAAATTGTCAGTGTAGGTGGAACTGTCTTTAAAATTTTCTGCTTTGTGGTAAAGTTGGCTGGGTACTATGGGCCAGTAGGCTGAAGATGGATGTCCCAGTATTACATCCATCCAGAACTTTTGGTGACTGTCCAGGTAGCGAGCTGTCTCTGTCATTTCTAGAGTTTTGGAAGTTGCTTTCAATATGCTTCCTGTTAACTTAGGTAATATTATATCCTTCTGCAATCTTTGATGGAGTTGAAGAATAGATAGAATGTAGATATAAATATTATAACTGTAATTCTTGCTTGATAACTATTTTGTTATATGTAATTTTACTATGTTAAAATTAAAGCCTTCCTTTTGTTTAAACAGAAAAGGGGAAATGGTGTGGGAGAGCCTTCTGTCTTTGTGTTGCTTAGTTAATGGATAAAAAACTGCTTTGTGCCTATGGCAGGGAAGAACAGAACTAGGTGGGGAAAGCTAGATTGTATACTGGGAGAAAGAAGGGCTGAGTCAGAGAGAAGCAATGGAGCCGCCAGAGACAGATGCTAGGAATTTTACCCAGTAAGCCACAGTCTCTTGGTGATACACAGATTAATAGAAATGGGTTAAATTAATATGTAGGAACTAGCTAATAAGAAGCTACAGCTAATGGGCCAAAGAGTGATTTCATGAATACAGTTTCTGTGTGATTGATTTGGGGCTAAGTAACCGAAAACCAACAAGTGGCCCCTCCTCCAATGAACCTTTTGTGCCCTTCCTGAGCTGTTCTGTGAATGGAGGACTTCTCCTACCTCATTCCTGTTTGTCATCTGCTTCTGTCAGTCAATGTCAGATAACTATTACTCTCCAGAGATGCCTTCGTTCAGGCAGTCTCAGATTGTTATCTATTTGCTATGGTTAATATCATAAAATGCCTCCTACAGACCCGTGTGCTTAGTGCTTGGAAGATGGCGGACTGTAGGGTGTGAGGCCTTGCTGGGGAAAATCAGTTCTTGGGAATTGATTTTGAAGTTCAAATTTTGTTGCTATCTCTCTTCTCACTGCTTATGCCCTGATATTCAACCTTTCCTCAGATTTGACTAAAGTAATGGAGCCAGGCATGAACTCCAGAAACCATGTGCTAGAATAAAGGGCGCTTTTAGTAGTCTGTCAGAAGTTTTAACACAGCACCCTCATTTAACTTTTATACTTTGTGTCCAATATTAATGTCTTTCTCATTTTTCTTTTCTGTAATTATCATTAAACCCTGAGTTTTATGAGGGCCATTGTCTACACACTATTTTTCCCTCAGGACACAGAACAGTGTCTGTCTGACATGTAGGAAGTATTCAGTTTAACACACATTCAGAATGTGTGTTACAATATTATTTGAATTAGTTTTTTATTTCATCCATATATTTTAAT